AATCCAATCTTGTAGATTGAGTCCTGCCTTACAAACACAACTGCCACCCATCCTCCCTCATTAACATCATAGAGGCAGGATTTACAACATATAGGAAAATCACACCATACCTGGAATCATGGCCCGGCCAAATTGATACACACATTTTTGGGGGTACATAATTCAATCCATGACACCCTTGAACCTAGGAGAGGGTCCCCTGCCCCAGTGGGTTGATTCCTCTGTGGATTGGGTTCTATAAGGAAGAATGAAAAGAGGTGACCAGCAGCATCTGCTACACTGGCTTGGCTTACTTCCCCGACCACCTCTTTCATTGCCCTGCCCCCCTGGGGCTGGCTTAGCCTCACCTGTGTGTTTACCTCCCTTAGGCTGTCCTCCCCACTTGTGTCTTCCCTCTCACCACCCTGTCCAGCCCCATTTTGAGTCACCTGCTGTTCTCCTTTCCCAATCTTTCCAGTAGGCTTTTCTGGAGCCTTTCGGAGGTACCCCCCTGTCTGTCAGCATTTCCCGTTTCTCCAGGGCATTGCTCAGACAGCTGATGCACTGTTTCCCATTGCCTATTGCCACATGTGTTTATCTGACTTTCTCCTCAGTTTGAATGTGCACTCTCTGTGAGTAGAGGCTACACTTCTTAAAATTTATGTATTTTTTTCTGGAAAGGCAAAACGTTCCTATGGTTCAGTGTTCAAAGGGTTCACAAGGGTGCACAGGATCAAGACATCTCACCGATCCTACCCCCAGGCTCCGTGATTCTACCCAGAGGCAACCAATGTGCCTCAGTTGGTTGTATTTTCCCCTAAAGACATTTTATGAATGTACAAGCAAGTGTCTATATCTATTTGTCTGTTTCAGTATATTCTGCCCACCCTTTGACACCAGCGGTGGCTTCTACAAACTATTGTGCACCTTGATTTTTTCACTTAACAGTATTTCTTAGAGATTATTCTTTACAGACACACTGAGAACTTCCCTTTTTTTAATGGTTGTTCAGTATTCCATTGTACAGATATACCAGAATTTATTCAGGCATTCCCCTTCTGATGTACTTCTAAGTTTAACCACTTAAAGTAGCTTTAACTAACAAATGTTTCAATTAATCTTGACAAGTCATTTTATACAGATCTGAGTAAATTGTTGCAAGCAGAATTGCTGGGTCAAAGGGTACGTGCATTTGTAATTTCAATACCAGTAAACCAGTTGCTGTTGAGTCAGTTGTGACTCATGGCTACCCCATGGGTGTCATAGTAGAACTGTGCCCCATAGGGTTTTCAATGGCTATGATCTTTTGGCAGTAGATCACCAGACTTTTCTTCTGAGGCACCTCTGGGTGGACTCAAACCATCAGCGTTTTGATTAGTAGCCAAACGCTTAACTGTTTGCCCCACACAGGTCTCCTGTGATTTCGATAGGCATTGCCAATTTCCTACTGTAAAGGTTGGACCATTTGCACTCCCTTCAGTGCCGTTGGAGTGCCTGTTTCCCGGCACTCATCAACACAGTTTATTTTTTTTATCTTTCACAGTCTAATAGACAGAAAGTAGTATTTCATTGTATTTATTTCATTTCCATTACAGTGTAACGAATTATCCCAAAACTCAGCAGCTTAAAACAATGCACATTTATTACCTGATAGTTTCTGTGGGTCAGGAATCCGGGCACGGTTTCACTGCTTCAGGGTCTCTCATGAAGCTGCAGTCAAGGCGTCTTCCAGACTCACTCACATAGTTATCAGCAGATTCAGCTCCTCTGCAGG